TGAAGCGCCAGAGGGTTTCAGACAGGCACAAGAGTCTTTGCCTGATGTGTTTGAGCCGGTAAGCTTTTTGACACATTATTCATCCTTTTTTAATACCACTTGTTAATGATTTTTCTTTGCTTTTTTCTCAGTCTACGCACCCGGAAATGATGGGATACATGAAGTTGGTTGACGCTTTGAAGTATTGCATCATCAAGCTTCGGCGTGGTGCGAGTTGTCGGGGCGGTTCTTGTGATGTTCTTGACGTATTTTCTCTTTTTTCCATTTTTACCATTTGTTCTATCTTGCACCATTGACATCTTTTGATTTTGTGTCTTTCAGGAGCGACGGAGGTCCCGCTCACGCTCGTGGCATAGAGGCTCGGACGAGGGGGAGCCAAGTCACGGCAGACGGTCTCCTGAGGTTCGTTGGCATTCTCAGTCTCAGCGACAGCCACGGTCTTCTCAGCCGTTTCAGGAGACTTAGTGGCAGCAGCCTCAACCTTCCCAGCTATTCCAGCACTTTTAGGTTCAGTGGCAACGACCTTCATCTTCACAACCTTAACAGCCTGAATTCAGGCCAGTTATTACTCCTGTGGACCAGGGTTTATACTCAGTTCCATTGTCTGGGCGCTTCCTCAACCGGTGCCCAGCTTATTTTCAATTCCAGTGCCTAGGACGATGCCTCCACTAACGCTTCCTACCTCTTGGAGTCAGTCTACGCCGTTTGCCAGTTGGACGGGTACTACTTTGAGTTTGTCTGCTACTGGAGCTACAGGGACTAGTAGGGATACTACTCCTCGTACCCGGATGATGGAGGGACTCTTTGGTTCACCGTTCCCGTATTCATAGGCTGGAGATGACACTGATCCTCACTCTTCTAGTTCTACAAATTTTTTACAGAGGTTCTTTATTTTGTACTTTGGTTGATGACACTTGACACTGTTTATGCATCATGATTCACTTTGTACATTATTCACACTTTATGCATTTACTAGTGTGTATTAGTCTGTGCTTGAGACTCATTTAGTGTGATTGTGTATTTATTAATGACGCGAAAAAAAACCTAAGTGGAGGGTACCGACCTTCCTCAAAAGAAAAAAAGAAACAAAAAAAGAAAATGGGACAAGTTTTACAACTCCTCCAAAATAGAAAAGAAAACTAAAAATAAACATGAAAATGGAACAAGTTTTACAACTTCCCCAAAAGAAAAAGGAAAATAAAAAATTAAAAATAAAAAATAAAAATAAAATAGAAATAAGAATAAAATAAAATAATAATAAATATAAAGATAAAAAAATTAAAAAAATTAAAAATAAATAAATAAATAAATGGAGAATTTTATTAGGAATGAAACTCTCGAAAAACAGAATTAGAAGATAAACGGTGAAGATACAACAGTAAAATCCGGATAAAAATAGGTAAAGGATAAAAAATGAAGACGCGTGGGCACCGCGACACAGCACTGTACACCGTGTCACGGCAAATACTGCCGTGTCGCGACATTATTTCCCGTGTCACTGTGCGCGTATTCTGCAGCGGTGTAGTTTGCGCGCATAGAAAGATAGATTTTGAGTATTTCTAAGCGTTTTGGCTATAAAATAGGACCAATTTATTCGTGATATGCATAATTACGAAACATAAAATAATTAGAATTTTAAATTTCAATAATAATGTCTCAGAATTTTGATAATACATTGCGCGACTGGTCTTATTCTTTGACCAATGCTGACAAAAGAAAGTTGGAATTGTTTCATGTCAGAGGCTTATTAGCCTTGAGGCATGTAGCAATTGAACATGATTTTCTTAGGGCATCTTTAGACTATTGGAGTCCAGAAACACATTGTTTTAAATTTGATTATGATGAAATATGTCCCCTGCCGGAGGAATTCGGTACCATCTTTGGTTTTCCTGCCAAAAATCTCATTGCTATGACTACCCTACGTGAGTATTATTACCAAGACTTTGAACGCCATCTGAATCTGACAGATCCAGATTTAAATAAAATCATGTGTGGTAATGATGTAGATTTAGAAAAGCTTGCGAATTTGTATTTCAATCGCCCTGTCTCTGAGTCTTATCATGTATACTGTAGAAGGGCTTATATTTTTTGCATGTTTAGAAAACTTTTATTTGCAAACGGTAGGGTAGGACATGCTTGTTTAGCGTCTGTGCTTGAACATGTTGAATCTGGGAGATCTCATATGCCTACTTACCTTGGAGAAAATTTGCGCGGCCTTGACGATGAAAAGCTGACCGGAAAGCCGTCAGGAAGGGCTGTTGCAGGTAAAAATGCGCTATTATAAGCCCCCGTGACACAAAACAGGCACTGTGTCACGGTGCATGTCTGCCGTGACACGGTGCATTCTGCCGTGTCACGGTGGTTTTCTGCATTTTTTTATTTTTTTGCAGATTTGGTTTATGGAACATTTAGAACTTTTTGAAGCCCCCGAAGATATTGAAAAATATGGTCCCAACGATCTAGTCCGAATGAAGAAGATTTACTCTGCGAACATGTCATATGATAATTGGAAGAATTTCTTTGTAAAGAGAGAATTTTCCATTCGGTGGGTGGTGCCTTGGTGGAGGCTTACTAGGATGGTTGGCATGAATGATACTCCGTATTGTCGCGTTCCTAGTATTTCAAAGCTAACTTTTTATTGTCCTACTTGATTGATGCGACAATATGGACTTGAACAAGTAGTTCCACGCTATAACGATAGTCCTCGTGAAGTATCGTTGCATGAAAGTAACATTCACAAGTACGAGGCTTATTGGATCGGAAGACCTTTGTGGACCATTTCTGCAAGTAACCAAGATCCTCCTCCCTTATTCAGTTCATACAAGGCATGATTAAATCCTAGAAGTAGAAGGGATCGAGTCAGATCGCGCAACTTTGATGTGAAGGGACATCTAAGAAGTAAGAAGGCGCCTCCTAAAGATCGTCTAGGTCCGAGAACACAAGGAATTGAGTTTAAGACTCCTATAATGCCTAAAAAGAAGAATTATGTGAAAGGAAAGGGTAAGGAAAAGATGGTTTATAGAGAGAAGCAATCGAAGAATTCTAAGAAAGGTGAAAGGGGTGAAATTTCGACTAGGGGTGTGACGGTTCGGGCTACAAAAGACACATTAATGGTGAAAGCCGACCTAGTTGAAAAAGAGAAGGAGGTTCCTAAAGTGAAGAAGTATTAGATCAATATTGCTTTGCTTATATGATTTATAATTTTTAAATTTTAAATAAGGCGCGTGATGCCAATAATTGTAGTCACATTTATTTCAATAATAATAGCATATTTATTTTCACCTTACATAAAAATTACAATGACTTATTATTATTATTATTATTATTATTATTATTATTATTATTATTATTATTATTATTATTATTATTTATTTTATATACAGAATTAGCAAAGTCCAGTTTTACTGCGCCACGGAACAATTCACCGTGTGTATATATATATATATACGTATATATATATATATATATATATATATATATATATATATATATATATATATATATATATATATATATATATGTGTGTGTGTGTGTGTGTGTGTGTGTATATATATGTGTATATATATATATATGTATATATATGTATATATATATATGTGTATATATGTGAGTATATATGTGTGTGTGTGTGTGTGTGTGTGTGTGTGTGTGTGTATACGGGGGGGTTCCGCTGAAAACAGGGCCTAAGCTGAAAACTGAAAACAACAAATCTCAACCGTTGATGATTAATGAAATAATCTGACGGTTGAAACACAACCAAGAAATTTCAAAGGGATTTACCTAAGCATATTCTCTTGAGCAGCTAACATGACCTTTTCCTCCAAATTTATTTTTGTGAAAAATTAATTGATTGATTATCAAAATTTCCACAAAAAATTTTCAATTCACGAACTGTTAAATCACATTCACGAATGGATTTTGAGGTATTTTTTTTCATCCAATTCGTTTCTTTTCAATTCTATATCAATTGAAAAAATCACTATCACTGTATCATGTTTGATTTTTTTCGTTTTTCATGAATTTAAGTTTGTATCATGTTCTTTTTTTTTCATATAAATATTCTATTTTGATATTATTTCCTTGATTTTTCTGGTTACAAGTTTCAATCATTTTATATGTGAAGGTTTCTATTGTTGCACATAAGGTGTTTGTGATTTTGCTTGAATGACTTTATTTGCTCTGTTTTTAGTTTCTTTTTTTTTGGGAGGAAAAATTTCTTTAGTTTCTAACATGCTCTTTTTTTTTTTTTTTTTTTTTTTTTTTTTTGTAACAATTCAACCAATATAATTTGCAATATAAATATTTTTTTTCAAGTATTGAAGTTTTTTTAACTCGGATATATGACATTAATTACTAGGAGAAATTGTTGCACTTAAGGTGTTTGTGTATTTGCTTGAATGACTATCACTTGCTCAATACTATATAGTTACCCTTTTTTATGATACCATAACCATATATTGTAGATTGTTTTGTTTGTGCTCAGTTAGTTGCACCATGGAATGGATCATATTTATTTTATTACAGTACCCATTTTTAACCATAATATTTGATATTATATGCAGATAATTGTAGAGGAATCAGAAGAAGGTAGTTGCTCAAATACATCTACAACTACCAATGTTGCTGAAAACTTGTCGTCACTAAAGGGCCCAAGTGTGTGTTACACTCCTAGAGGAACAAAAGAGTTCATACCATGCTTCCCCCTGAACTAAAGCCTACAATTGGTATGCCTTTTGATTCCTTACTTAAAGGTGTTGAGTTTTATAAGCAATATGCTAGATTTTGTGGGCTTGTGGTACGACTAGGTACTGAAAAGAGAATTCAGGCTACTGATGAAGTATACTTGAAATATTTATATTGTAATAAACAAGGGTTTACGAATGATGGTGAAACAAAAGGTAGAGTTGCTAAGAAAGAGGTAAAGCCTAAAGCTAGAAAAGAACCATAAATCGTGTTGGATGTAATGCAATGATTGGGATTAGGGAACGTTCAGATGGAAAATGGATGGCCACAATCTTGCTTCTCCCAACACAATGAATTTTTTGGCAAATGCTGGAAACCTTAATCTTGGCCAAAAAAAATTTATTTTTGACAACTCTAAATTGAACATTGGTCCAAACAAGTCTTATAAGTTGATGAAGGAACATATTGTTAGCTATGATAATATAGGTGCAACATTGAATGATTTCAAGAACTTTAATCGAGATTTGAAAGCTTACATTCAAGAGAAAGATGCTTCGATGTTTATAAACAATTTGAAAGAAAAAGCTGTAAACAATGAAGGTGCCTTTTTCTTTGACCATTGTATGGATGAACATCAACGCTTGACAAGAGTATTTTGGGCAGATGCAATTAGTAGAAAAAATTATTCGTTGTTCTGTGATATGATTACATTTGATACAACATTTGACACCAACAAATACTCTATGGTTTTTGCCCCAATTACCGGTGTTGATAACCATGGTAAGTGTGTGACTTTTGGGATAGGCTTACTTGAAAAGGAGGATATTGAATCCTTTGAATGGTTATTTGAAACTTTCTTAAAAGCAATGAATAACTGCCAGCCTCCCTGTATCATGACAGATCAAGACCCGGCGATGAAAGTGGCAATTAAAAATGTTCTTGATAAGGCAAAACATAGGTTTTGTATGTGGCACATTATGAAAAAAGTGCCACAAAAGGTTGGGCCCAAATTATGCTTAGAAACTGACTTTCTTCATAAACTAAACTTTGTTGTGTGGAATAGACCTTGAACCAGAAGAATTTGAAATTGGTTGGCACTATGTGATATCTGAATTTGATTTAGTGAATGATGATTTGTTTAAGAATATGTTTAATATAAGGAATATGTGGATTCCTTCCTACTTTCGTGACCTTTTTATGGGTGGGATTTTAAGGTCAACCCAAAGATCTGAGAGTGAAAATAGTTTTTTCACTAATTTCACCAATCAACATTTGTTATTGGTTGAGTTGTGGTTTTGCTATGAATCCGCAATTGATGCTCAAAGGCACACACAAGACAAGTTGAATGCTACTTCGAAAACTACACATCCCCAACTTGTCGCCCCCCTGCACTTGGAAAAGCATGCTGCACTAGTTTACACTCATAATGTATTTTACATATTCAAAAAGGAATTCAAGAATGCTTTGTACAATTGTGGTATAGGTAGTGTTACCATCAAAGAAGAAGAAGGGATTGAGCAATATAGAATTGTTGAAAACACTAGGAAAAAGAGCTATCATTTCACATATGTTTTGTGTTCTAATGATGCTTCTTGCTCCTGTAGAATGTTTGAATCTGTTGGAATATTATGTCGTCACATTCTCTTTGTCATCAAAGGAAAGTTCTTATTTGAGATTCCAAGGCAATATGTTTTGCATCGTTGGAATAAAGAAGCTATGAAGAAACCAATATTTGGCTTAAACAACAACTTGCTTGATGGGGCACAGAAGGATAAGAAGCAAAAGCTAGTTGGTGATTTATGGTACAGGTTTTTTTCATGTGTAAGTCTTTGTGAGGAGAAAGTTGAATGTCTTGAGTCATTGTTGTCTAAGCTAATATCTTTTGAAAATGAGATGAAAGACTTGGAATCTGAAGGTCCAGTTGATAAACGTGAAGCAAAAAATAAACACATCGAATTATTTGTTGGATCTAATGACATTGTTGTTGATATTCTTCCTCCAAAAAAGTCTTCCAACAAAGGTAGCGGTAGTGAAAAAAGGAAAAAATCAGACAAAGAGATTGCTATTGGGGAAAGCCAAAAGAAAGATAGACTTTGTAGAACTTGTGGTCAGAGAGCAAACCATGATAGTCGAAATTGTCCGCAAAAAAAAAATCCAAATTGAATGAGGTATTTTTTTTAAAAAATATATAAATAAATAAATTTTGTACTATGTTTACTTCCTACTAGATTTTCATTTTATATATGTTCATGTACATTATTTCAGGATTTCAAAGAAGAGTAGAAAGGCTGCAAAACAACTTCATATTTACATGAAGAAACATGACGGCCTAGTACTGAAATGGAGGAGATGGGAGGAGAGAAATAACATAGTGACACATGATAATACACTTTTTATTGATATAGTGCCCTTTTTATTGCTATAGTGCCTTTTTTATTGATACAGTGACTATTATTGTTACACATATATTAAACAGGGACCTTTTTATTGTTAAAATTTAATTGATAAGGAGGACCTTTTATTATTAAAATTTTATTGATAGGGGGACCTTCATATTTTTATTTTGATGTAGTGGCATATTGGCATAATAAATTGTATTATATTATAGCATCTGTTTTTAATTTCATAGTGACTTCCTTTCATCGTATTATGACCTTGTTCCGTAGAGACCTGTTGAGTGATATAATGACTTTTATTATGACATAGGAACTGTTAAAAAAAAATCACATTTTCACAATTCTTCTAAAGCCCCCTTCAGCTCCCCAACCCACATAGATTAAGCCAATAAAAAGTTAGGAAAGGAGAGGCTCGTTCTTTTAATTGATTTACTAATTGAATAGCTTAAGAATATATTAATATAATTACGATACTCATAAGGACCTTTTTATTTAAATAGAGACATATTATTGTAGAAATCTTTTTAATTGTAACCCTTTTTAAATATATAGTGACCTTTTTAATCAAATAGTAATCCTATAGAGAAAGATTATTGTAAAAATCTTTTTTAATCAAATAATAACCCTCTTTAATTATATAGTGACCTTTTTATTCAAATAGCAACCCTCTTGCATCTTAGAGTGACCCTTTCGAATCACATAGAAATTGGCAATTAGTTACATGAACCCAAAATAGGATAATGAATATATTGATACCATTTTTCTTACATAGTTACCAAATAAAAAAATTATGGTCAAGTTAAAGTACAAATTGATATAGTAACCCTTTTCATCACATAGAGACCTTTGTTTTTTCAACATTACATAATGACATAGTTATCGTTATAATGATATGGTTACCATAACATTTTAACTCATATAAAGTCATATAAATCTTTTTTCCTTTTTTAACAAATATGTAAATCTTTCAAATATCATAGATACCTTTTTAAAGACATAGTGACCTTATAACATAGAAACTTTTTAAATGACATAGATACCTTTTTAATTAAATAGTGATCTTTGTAGACACCCATTTGTGTCTCCCCAAAACTAAACCCGGTGATGATTACCTTTCACGTCGAATCATAATCGAATGAAACGAAAGTGTGGAAAGGTCTAGTGTTGCGGAAAGTTTTATTTCTTTTCTCTTCTCCCTGTTTTGGAAAACTTTATTTTAAGAAAACAGTCAATCCTGTTTGGTTGGTCCATGATATGGATCAAATAGTGGTGTAGTTGGATGGGGCTTGCAAAGATCTTTCCAACGATATATTATAAGCCCAATTCCGATGAATATTGAGGAAGTTATGGCCAATTTACTAAACTGGGCCCGGTTTGAGTTTTATGTACGGCCCAATGATCTAGGGGAGGGCCTAATATGATTTATCATTCCTAATGCAATTAGGAATGGTTTTAGTCTTCTAGAATCTTCTAGAAGGTTCTTTTAATTCCTAATTCAATTAGCATTGATAAGTTGACTTTGTTGTCTTTTCAAAGTTTTAAGCAAAATCAAATAGCATTGTCGAAGAAATTATATAATTTTATTTTCCAGTACGGGAAATTTATCAGATTTTTGAAAACGCGTTGAAATCCAGTTTGGCATCCAACCCCAGGCCTTGGCGCCTGGAACCAGGCTTGGCGCAAGGCGCTAGCCATTGGCGCCTGGCGCCAGCTAGCCAGGGTTGGCGCCAATCCTGTTTTGCGATCTTCAGACTCTGTTTTGTTAAATTATCTTTTTTGGCTGATTTTCTCTATAAATAACGTATTAAAACTCCGTTTTCGAGAACGAGATTTCACCAATTCTTTTCAATTCACCAACTCTCATCAAGATTTTCTTGATTATTCTCTCTCTCTCTCTCTCTCTCTTTCTAAATTAGCCTTTTCTCAAATACAAAATTCCGCATTCGCAAGATCTAGATACACCTAGCCATATTCGAAGTTGCCTTCGCCCTAGGCGTGAAAGGTTTAATTTCTGAGGGTTTGGTCCCAAATCTCTATTTCAATTATTTAATTTAATTGTTTTGATTATTATTTTCCTTGAAGTTACTAACGTGTGTATTTTGTTATTAGAAAGAGGTACGAGGAATCAAAGTAAATACTTTAATTGATTTATTGATATTATGTTATAGAAATCATGTTTACATTGTTATTATGATATTCCTAGTATCATGTCTAGGGTAATTTTAATATTAAATATGATTGTTGTGATACTTCCTATGCTCTTCCTAATATTTATGATTGCTAGTATCATGTTAGGGTTAAAGGTTTAATTTTTATTGCTTAGTGACATGCTAGGGTATGTTATTAATCTTGTTAGTATCATGCCTAGGTTCTTGCTATTTCTATTATGCTTTAATATTAACATGAACATGATAATGATTATAATTGTTATAATTTATGATGATTATAAATATTATTATTATTATTATTATTATTATTATTATTATTTTGATAATGATTATTTTATTTTGATTATTATTGTTTGGATTATGATTATAATTTTATGATGATTATAATTATTGATTATTATTATTGTTGCTTGATATTTATATTTATTGCTTGATCACGCCTTTTATGCATGTTAAAGGGAATTTTGTACTTGTAATCGCGCTTAATAAGATAATTAATAATCTTGTTAGGGTTAATTTGATTATAATTCAAGTGATCGCCAATAATAGTTTGTTTGTGCATTAAATTCAACCAACATAGATTAAACAAGTTTAGAGTTAATCTATTGATTGTATGTTAGTCAGAAAGCGCACATGAATACGATCAGAATAAAGTAGAGGCCTATTATTAGGGCAGTTTCAATCTCTTTTAGGTTGGATTTTTACCCTCATCCCCGGACCCTTATTTGGTTCATGACCTTATGGAGTTGACGATCTCTTGGATCGTTAAGGGGTGTAACCTTCATCTTATGAACGGTTTACAAGTTCCTTAAAAACTTGTTGGCGACTCTTTTGCTCTATCTTCTTCCCTTTTGGACGCCACCGTACTTTAGTGTATGATCACAGTGGGGTTCGAGCTAGTGGGATTTAAGGCTTGAAATTATTCCCTACATTTTTTGGCGACTCCACTGGGGAGGATTTCTATTTTAATTCCTGAATTTGTTTCGGCAATGATTTAGAATGAGTGGATGAGACTCGAAAAGTTCTAAGTATTTCATGTGCGTAATTTTGATTAACATTATTGTCATATGCATAAAAAAGATCTCATTGGAAAGACCATCTGTAATGAGTTAAAAACATAGGATTTTACACGTGGGAAATTTGAGAAATGTCTTTCACAACTAGGACTGAAATAACACCATGCGAAACTGGAAGATTTTATCGAGCACAAAAAGCTGCTGAGGCATGTGGGAAGTAGCGTCAGGGGCCAGAGCTTGGCGCCACACTTTTAGCCGTAGCGCCAGACGCCAGTATTGGCGCCAGGCGCTATAGTTAAAAGTTGGCTCCAGTCTCTGTTTGCTTGCGCCAATTTCCCCCAATACCGAGCTAGAAATATGCGTTCTAATTTTGACCGGTTTTTCGTATTGTTTTCTCGATCCTACTTCCTAATTGAATTTTTTCTCACTTTTCTGAAACCCATATGTGTTCTACATATGGACATAACCCTCTGGGAATTCATGCTCCATCTACCCGATTGAACGCTCCTGGCAACAAAGAGTACATCCGAGATGTTGAATTCACCAAACCATGGAAGTGAGTTTTTTCTAAAACTCGCGGTGTCCCATCCACTCGCACCAACCCTTCACGGTTAGGCTTCCGCGCAGGCAATCCGGAAAATTATCCATGGACCCTCTATTGACTAACCCATATCCCTAACTTTAGAGAACTAGAGCCATGGTTATGTTTCAAACTCATTGCATCATATTGTGCCTACTTGACTAATTGTGCATTATTTGTTGTGCATACTCTATGTGATTTTTCCTAACTGTTTGTTTTACTTGTGTTAAGACTAAATAAACTGATTAATGACTTAAAGAACTTTGCCTAATTAATCAATTAATTAATTTGAGTCAATAAAGTCTTTTTTTAATCGGAATTGACCTAGTACGACTTTAGGCATACCCCAGTTGACTAATAATACCGAAAACAGTCCCGGACCGAAGCTCCAATATTGGCGCCAAAGTCTGAGCTGTAGTGCCACGTTATAGTGTGTAGCTCTTGACATTTACTAAATTGTCAGGCGCCAATCACCATAATGCGACGCCAGTCCTGTCGCTTGGCCGACAGCTCGGATTATTTGTCGAGTCATCACCTAATGTCTAATTAATCAGTTTTCTGATTAATTCGGTTAATTTTGCTGACAATAACGCTTAATTGAATCAATGTTCGAGTTTAGGCACTAAGTCCCATGGTCTTACACAAGAGTCCAAACATGTCACCTACACTCACTAGTCTTAGCACACACTTTGAGTTCACATCACCATGGCCATGTCTTAGGTTCATGCATGAGTCGGTCTTTTCCGTCGTTTAAGTTGGGGGTACATTCTATTCCTAATTCTTCATATCCCTCCATCTAAATCTTCTTTCACATTCTATTCCAATCTTTCTTCACTTCCTCCATCCATTGCATGTTGAATAAAGTTTGAGTCAAATAATTAATAATAAATATCCCCAATTTCATTTCCCACAGTACTTGGTCAAGGAGAGAAGGGCGATTAATCAAGGACAACCACTTTATTCAAGTCTCGCTTTTTGATAAACCGATTCGTCAAAAGAGGAA